CAGAAAATGTTTCCGCAGAATTCTGCGCAAAACTTTCCGCCGAGTTTAAGACATTTACGACGAAAAATTTCTGCAGAATTCTTCTACATCGGGAAAAGAGAAGAATTCTGCCGAGATTTTTCGTCGTAAATGTCTTAAACTGGGCGGGAATTTTCCTTAAAAAAAGAACAGAGTTCTTCAGATTTTTGAAAGATTCCTGCAGAATGCGGTGGGAAAAGTGCTTCTTTTCCTGCAGAAGACTTTCACTTCCCGCGTGAGAATTTTTCATTTTTCCCGCAGGAACTTGCAGAATCGCGCTCATTTTTTTTCACTGGGTTCCTTAACCAGCCATGTGTTTTCCTTTACGTAGAACTTATATTAAATTAGCCATCAGTCACATACTTAATGAGTACAACAATAGATTCAAAACCATCACACAGCATATCCACTTCACAAACAACAACGGATCGTGTGCAAACTTCAATTTGTCGGACAAACTTTATTGAGCAACAAAACTTAGAAAACTTTCAGATCGTTTGGCTTGATGCTAATATCAATAAAACAGATCATAATTCCCAAACAATATGTCGATTACGTGCTGTTATTAATAATCTAAATATATTTGATAATGTTTGTGACTGTTATGACTACATAGCCGGTGTTCAAAATGAAAAAGTATTTCTAATTGTATCAGGTTCAATTAGTCAATATATATTACCATATACTGATCAAATGCCACAAATTCAATTTATTTATATATACTGTTTTAACATCAAAAAACATGAACAATGGGCAATGAATTATGACATAGTGCGTGGTACATATACTAATATGAATGATATTTGTGAGCAATTAAGTAAAGATGTCACCAGTTCACGTCAATTCCTATTCATGAATATTCTTTCTACAACCATAAAAGAAAAAGAAATTAATAAACAAGAAGCTTCATTCATGTATTTTCAATTGTTAACTGACATCTTAATCGGAATGGAACATGAAGATGATGCAAAAACAGATATGATTAATCACTGTCGATTACAATATATTGGAAATGAAATCGATTTGAAATATATCGATGAATTTGATAAGACTTATAGTCCAAATGAAGCCATATGGTGGTACACAAGACATTGCTTTTTATTTGAAATATTGAATAAAGCACTTCGAATTCAAGACATTGATATTCTATTTAAATATCGTTTCTTCTTAACTGATCTTCATAATCAAACAAAACAATTACATTCAGAGTTTGTTCAATCATTTACAACAAAAAATATCGACAATGAACAAAGAACAGTGACTGTGTATCGCGGCCAAGGCATAAATGCAGATGAGCTTGAAAACCTAAAGAATAATCTTGGAGGGCTTTTATCATTCAACAACTTTTTATCCACAAGTACCAATCCAAAGGTGGCACTCATGTTCCTCCCAATTAAATCGGATCTTCAATCTGTTCTTTTTGAAATAATTGCTAAATATAGTGAAGACACAAAACCATTCTGTAGCCTTAAGGGACTAAGCAACTTTAATCAAGAACAAGAAGTCCTTTTCTCTATCGGAAGTATATTCCGAATTGAATCACTTGATAACTTCAGCAACGGAGTCACGAAGATAAGCTTGATATTGACTGCACAAGAGGATGAACAGCTCAAGCAATTAAGACAACACATTCGTATGAAATTCGGAGAAGAGTTAAACCTGAACGCCCTCGGTGTGCTCATGATAGACATGGGAGAATATCACTACGCTCAACAATATTTCATAACATCAATTACAAACCATCAGCAAGCACACGCTGATATATCACAAGACTACAATTATATAGGAATAGCTCACGCTAAGAACGGTGAATACGATAAAGCATTAGAGAATTATGAAAGGACACTTGAAATTCAACTCAAGTCATTGCCAGCCAATCATCCGTCATTAGCAGTTACATATAGTAACATTGGATTAGTTCATCATGAGAAAGGTGAATACGATAAATTATTAGAGACTTATGAAAGGACACTTGAAATTCAACTCAAGTCATTGCCATCCAATCATCCATCATTAGCAACTACATATAGTAATATGGGAACAACTTTAAATGCAAAAGGTGAATACGATAAAGCATTAGAGAATTATCAGAGGGCACTTGAAATTCAACTCAAGTCACTGCCATCCAATCATCCATCATCAGCAACTATATATAGTAACATTGGATTAGTTCATCATGAGAAAGGTGAATACGATAAAGCATTAGAGACCTATGAAAGGACACTTGAAATTCAACTCAAGTCACTGCCATCCAATCATCCATCATTAGCAACTACATATAATCATACTGGATCAGCTTTAAATGCAAAAGGTGAATACGATAAAGCATTAGAGACTTATGAAAGGTCACTTGAAATTCAACTCAAGTCATTGCCATCCAATCATCCGTCATTAGCAATTACTTATAGTAACATTGGAACAGTTCATCATGAGAAAGGTGAATACGATAAAGCATTGGAGACTTATGAAAAAACACTTGAAATTCAACTCAAGTCATTGCCATCCAATCATCCATCATTAGCAATTACATATAGTAATATGGCAACAACTTTAAATGCAAAAGGTGAATACGATAAAGCATTAGAGAATTATCAGAGGGCACTTGAAATTCAACTTAAGTCACTGCCATCCAATCATCCATCATTAGCAACTACATATAATCATACTGGATCAGCTTTAAATGCAAAAGGTGAATACGATAAAGCATTCGAGACTTATGAAAGGTCACTTGAAATTCAACTCAAGTCATTGCCATCCAATCATCCGTCATTAGCAATTACATATAGTAACATTGGATTAGTTCATCATGAGAAAGGTGAATACGATAAATCATTAGAAATTTATGAAAGGACGCTTGACATTCAACTCAACTCATTACCATCCAGCCATCCATCCTTAGCAACCACATATGCTGGTATTGGACTAGTTCATCAGGCGAAGTGTGAGTACGATAAAGCATTTGAGAATTTTGAAAGGACACTTGAAATTCAACTCAAGTCATTGCCATCGATATCGGTCAAAAAATTTATAAAAACTGCGGTAATATACAGAAGATTATGTTAAAAACGGGCGACATAAATCAGTGGGATTTGACAATATCAGTTGTCGTCCTTCGCGAAACGAAACCCATACGACAACTCGATAAGATAAATAAACAAAGAATCGCCGTACAAAACAGCAGTTTATTGAAAATAATAAGTATTCGAAACATTAATGCTCATCGTCCATCGAAATGTATTTTGGGCACTGAATTCGAAACTATTTGGTCTCAATTATCGTCTGTATTGATATCGTTCGGCGATGATGCAGATAAAATTGAGGAACTAAAATTAAATAAGATTGGCGCGAAACATCATGAGGGAGCGATTAATAATCTGAATATGGCTGA